TCAAAGGGGAGGGCAAAAAGAAACAATTAGGGGTAGCAGCAGCACCAGCCTAACATGCAGCAATATCCATTAACTGGGAGGCTGCTCTGCTGCCATTAGCTTTGAGCAGCCTTTAGCATTTTCATTAGCTCCTGGATGCTTTTGATGTACTTAATTTACGCCACAGAAACCGTAGATGATGGCAGCTGATGATTAAGATGTGCTTTCGCTCTTGTAGAGTGCGCTGAGTACCTTGTAGCTACAGACCATGCATATCAAGAGATACTGCTTGTTATTCAGAGCTGCTACATTAATCATGTGCCTGCTTTGCTCTGGGAAGAGGAATTAGAATATAGCAATATTCTGTCTGCTTGTTTTTAAAATACATGTGTGGGTGGACACTGCAGCTACTGCTCACATCTCTCTCTTCCAAGTGGCAGAATTGCTGTTTGTGATTCTCCTCCCTGGTATTTTCTCCTGACACTCATTTGGTTGGCCAGAGCCAGGGAGGAAGCTGCCCCCAGCCAGTCGATGAGTGCTGCATGGAAATAATAAAGAGTGCTAATTGAGGAATGTTTGAATTTCTGGGCTGCAGACAGGAAACCTTGGAACAGCTTTAAAATGAACAGTGCTGTAGTATTTCTCCCCCAGCAAAGAGACAGAAGGCCCTCAGTGCTATTATCTTTGTCCATTAAAATACGATTTGACACCTTCTCGTCTGAATATTGCTGATCAAGTTCTCATAAATGCATTGCAATGCTGTTGCTGAGCATTAGCTAAGAGCTCTACAGTAGAAGGAAGCAAGGAACTGTTTCTTAAGAGCAAAATTTGAGCCAAGCTTTACAGCAAGCTTGAGATGCTGAAACACAGACCTAAGGAAACCTGTGTTAATGCTCCATTCGGTCCGTGTTGCTTCCAACTTAAAGCAGCTGCTTGGTGGAGAAACTGAATGACAGGGCTACATCACTGCTGGGAACACATACCTAGGTGGTCAGAGCTAGGAACTGCCAGTCCTCACTAAGTCCTGAGAGAGAAGGTAAGTGTGCCTGAAGGGCCTCAGCCCTCACCCAGCCACCAACACATCCCTGAATTCACTCAGGATGTTGCACAGAGAATTTTTAGTCAACTGTGTTCACCTCGTGATCCTGGAAAGACGTTCTGGAGGCACCACGAGCGACTCAACAAGTTGTGTCAGTGTCTTCAGTGCCCCTGTCTCGTCACATCTGAACTCGTGAAGAACATTGCAGAAAACCAGCGAGTTCTGGGATCGAATGAAGGGGAGGAAAAAAGAGACAAACAATATAAGTTGAGAACTAGCGTGTTACCATTCTGCATGCCACATACTAACAGGGTGTCAAGGATGTCTCCAAGCTGAGGAGGTTACAGGATGCATAAATAGCTCCACGAAAACCATGTTGTTGCTGCCTCATGAAAAAGCATGCAGTTAAGGACCAAGCCTGTCACGTAACACAAGAGCCGGCTCGACCAGACTGCAGAGCTGCTTGTTTACTGCAGAGGAATGATTTTACCTGAGTGTCTTTCACTGGAGTATCTTCTGCTTTAAGAACACCCCGCACTGATCTATCCACGTTATCAAACTGCACTTACTCAAATAAGACTAGAGCATTTACTTCCAACACATACTCCTCACACTAGAAAACACCTTAATGCTTAAAATCATTCCTTTAACTCAAAGTGCTCCTCCAAGCACAGTACAGTAACTCAAAGTGCTCCTCCAATGTGTACAGTAAACTCCTCAAACACCATCTGCAAGAGGTGCTTTATTGTTTTAGCCAAAACTTACCCATCACTCCCCAAAAGCAATAGATCTTCAGCTATTCTCCACTAAGTCCAACGGCTGTAATTCTACAGCTACACCATCCCTCTGGAATAACAACATCATTAAAGACTGCTGGTTGTAAAAGCACAAGAGAAATGATGCCAGTGCCTGTCCCAAACCCACCAGATCCAGGTGATGAGGAGGCAGATCCCAGTTCCAGGTTTATGAAGTCACATTAATTTCCAAGTGGAATGTGGCCACTGTTCTGTAATGATTAGGGAGCATCCCAAGCAATATGGCATTTCTCACTCTATGTTCTCCACATCGCTCCCTGGAAGACTGTGAAGATATTGCCCTGTGATTTAGATCTGTGTGGAACTTAACAGCCAACGTCTTGACAGGCACCAGTTCAATTAAACCAAATTTCCCTCCTCATAAGCATGAGAGATTACGCACAAAAATCAGACAGCTCAGCTTGTTTGGAAACAAATTAGACAATTTATTTCTTACTACAGATGTAATTTACAATACAAGTGATGGAGCACACCCCAAATATAGGTTATTTACACAGCATGAAAGGCAGCCACCCCAGGCATCGTGTGCTCCCAGTCTGCTCTAGGCTCGAGGCTGGGACCACCACCATGTGCACCACCAGGAGCCCCCCAGCATCGCCAGCCCAGCACCCCCATTGTCCAAGTGAGCCTGTGGGACCTCCTTTCATAGGCACCACAGGCAACCTGGGGAACCTGCCCGTGACTCTCTGGGGCACAGGCAGCACTGAGCCCATTTTCATAGAATCCCAGCCTGGTTTGGGCTGGGAGTGAGCTTAAAGCTCCTCCAGCTCCAACCCCTGCCACGGGCAGGGACACCTTCCACTAGAGCAGGTTGCTCCAAGCCCCTGTGTCCAACCTGGCCTTGAACACTGCCAGGGATGGGGCAGCCACAGCTTCTCTGGGCACCCTGTGCCAGCGCCTCAGCACCCTCCCAGGGAAGAGCTTCTGCCTCAGAGCTCATCTCAATCTCCCCTCTGGCAGGTTAAGTTTTGTGTGTAGTAGTTCCCTGCACTCTGCCAAGCCCCAGTCCTCGGTGATCTCCACATCACATCCAGGGAAAACACCGCAGTGATGACGAGATGTTACAGAACACCTCGTCTGTGTGAATAATTACAGATACAGGCTGCCCTGCCTTTGCACAGGCATCTCTGTGAAGGCAGTGGGAGTTGTAGAGACGTTAGTAGGTCTCATGACATTTTAAAAAGGTTTAAATATAAAATGTCTTATTGGGGTTTCAAAGACTGGAATGGAACTGAAATAGTCTTTGCGATAACAATTGCCAGATGCTAAAAACAACCTGTAGAGAAGCATTCCGTGTTTGGATGTGAAAGAACAAAGAGATCAAGATCCATGCACAGAGAGAGCAAAAAGCAAGAGTTCTTTTCAAGCAAAGCCCTTATGGATGCTTCCACAGCTGCCCTTCAGCTCAACTCACCCCTGACCACAACAGAAGCAAAGGTTACACACAGCAGTGGCACAGAGGACTGCATCACGCAGCACCACAGGTCCAGCACAGGAAGGTTGTGGGATATCATCTCCAGTAAGATCAGGTGTAAAGCCTTTGTACTGGCATGGCAAATGGGCACTGTTACTTCAGTAAGAGTAACATTTCAGTCAACACCAAACACTCATGCAGAACTTCCTGGGTTTCTGAAATCATGAAGACTGAGATGTTCTGTGGAATCAAACGGCACGAGGGCTGCAGCCGTACCTGGGGCAAACTCCCTGCACACATGTAGCCAACTGGGCCCTTCTGTTCCTTAAGTAGGAACAGCCCAAGGAGATGAAAACCCACTCATGGACAGACACAGAAGACAACAGAGCATGAGGAACCAGCATGGATTGTAAGAGTTGTTCAAATATGTGAGATGTCAACACGGAGACAAGCTTCATGGCTTTGTGTGTTAGTCTGCAACACACGACCAAATGATGGCTGAGAGAAAAGACCCTTCTTGAGCATCTCGCACACAAATCCAGCACTTAGTTATTAATAGACACTAACGCTTTCAAACTAAGAAAGGGTATGTACTTTCCAGCATCTCCTGCTCCATATTTTGCTCAACAATAAAATCATTTCACTACAAAAGTGCTATAAAAGGAAGCAATTCTTCTCTTCCGTGTCTCCTGCGTCCAGACTACGTTGCTGTGTAAAAATCAAACCTACAGCGCAGTAGTGAGGTCCTTAGAACCTTCTGCTCAGAGCAATACACACACAAAGTAGGAGATCTACAGCACAGGCTCATTGCGAGTACTTGCACTTGAAATCTTCCTCAACCATGCACTGCAGGTGAGGCTCATCATGCTTGTATCTTGTTAAGAACAGCCAAAACAAAGAAAAATGGGAGGAGGGGGACAAGAGAGAGACTAAGCCCATGTCTCCAGACCATTTATTTGTGGGAAGTGTCTGCTAAAGTTTCCATGTGAGAGGAGTTTGCTTTAAATGCAGCCTCCAGGTGTAGACGTTTCTTCCCAAAGCAGCATTACCTGAACCAGTCCTAAGTCTGAACTAAAACCTGGGTAACTTGGATCAAATAAGAGGGAGGGAAATAATATCCAAGAGAACTCCAGGAAGATGGCAAAAGTAGCTTTAGCCATCTGCAAAAACAGACTGTCAGTTGAGAAAGGTGAATTGCCACTATAACCAGCTACTACATCAACTGCTACTCACAACCCGATTACCTTCATGAAGGAGGCAGCTCTTGCTCAGGGATGTGAAGAATCACCCCTGGACTTGGAGCCAGAGCACATGGAAGCCCCTGTCTCAGTGAACAGGGAGCTCAGAGCAAGGGGGGTGAGAAAGCAAACAGCCTGATCACATGCAAGTATAGCTGTAACCACTCATGGAACTGCAGCAGGCTCAGGAATCACACAGCACATGGGAAATCTGAACTTCCAACATGGAAAACTGAGTCTTTGGTAGGCAAGCCAGTTTGTCTGCCAAAAATACAAGCATCTGGAGCCACATATACACTCATTTGCAGTGCAAATGCTTGGCTTTGCTAAAGATTTGCTCTGATCAATGGATTCCTGAAGGCAATTTCTGAACTATACACATCATAGATATGATTTCTTTTGAGCTAACAGGCTGAAACACTTAAAACCTAGCACGTACTCACAGGAACAGAGGTGTTTGTTTCTGGCTGACGTTCTTCTATACGCTTCTTGCATTACAAACGTCCAGTCACATGTAACTGCTACCACTGAACATTTATTGTTTTAAAAAAAATCAACATGCAGAAAGCCATCCCCTTTACAACCAACACATAAAATAATCCAGTGGAGATTTGAGAGGAAAGCAATAGCCCTGTAAGGCATGGATTTGTCTGAAACCTCCAGCAGAAATGTATTTTCTGTGGGAGTCTGTGCTCCAGCTTTGTCCAGCCAAAGTCAGTCACATAACAGAGCACTTGCCTTGCAGTTTATCTTTCTTTTTCTGCTGCTTGGACTTCTTTCCATCCACCTGGAGACTGATAGTTCTCCTCTTCTCCAGATTCAAGAGCTCCTGGAAGAGCTCCTGGACGTTGTAGTTCATTTTGGCTGATGTCTCCATAAAGGAGCACTTCCACTTGCTGGCTAACGCTTGCCCCTCGCTAGCATCCAGCTCCCTCTGGGCCTCATCACTTTTGTTCCCCACCAGCATTATGGGGATTTTTTGGATGTCCCCTTTAATCTGACAGATCTGTTCAAAGATGGGCTGGAGATCTTCCATGGACTGCCTGCTGGTGACGGAGTACACCAAGATGAAAGCATGCCCTTTGGATATAGACAGCCTCTGCATGGCAGGGAACTGATGGCTTCCCGTGGTGTCTGTGATCTGAAGGGTGCAGATGCTCTTGTCGCAGCTGATGACCTGCCGGTACGTGTCCTCGATCGTGGGGATATAGATTTCCCGGAAAGTTCCCCTTACAAAGCGAAGGACCAGGGAGCTTTTGCCAACCCCTGCTGCTCCAAACACAACCACCCTGTAATCGTTGCTTTGTTCAGGCATGTTTGCTGCGCTGCTGATACAAGTGAAGGGTTCAACTGGAAAAGCCTGAGTTCTTCGAGTTTACACCTCTTTATAGAGAGGTGGCCTGTGGAGATGGGAGAAGGGAAAGGAGAAGGATGTGCAGGGAGAGAGAAAGCAAAAGAAATCATTTGCACCAGTCTGGTAATCTCATAGAATCACAGAACCCCAGCCTGGTTTGGGTTGGAAGGGACTTTAAAGCTCCTCCAGCTCCAACTCCTGCCATGGGCAGGTGCCCCGGGCAGGGACCCCTTCCACTAGAGCAGGTTGCTCCAAGCCCCTGTGTCCAACCCTGCCAGGGTTGGGGCAATTTTACAGTATGTTATTGAAATGAGCAATTAAGTCACTCCCCTCCCATCCTTTTTGCACTGAATGTAAATAGCCCACTGCCATCCCTCCCCAGCCGTACACCCCGTGCACACCGAACGCTGTAAGAAGTGAAAACAAATTCACCTGTAGCCATCGGCTCCAGCGTT